TTTTTTTCATCGTTATTTTGTCGTTGGATAGCCCACTACACAGAGGGAGGGAGAGAGAGTGAGAGAGAAGGAAAGAGAAAGAGAGAGAGAGAGAGAAAGAGAGAGAGAGAGAGAGAAAAAGAGAGCGAAAGAGAGAGAGAGGGAGCGCCTTAGTTTATTTGTATGTGTGTATGTGTATGTGTGTATGTGTATGTATGTGTTTGTGTGTGTATGTGTGTACTTACTGAATTCCCACTGGATAGGAAGGCGGTTATTCAAGAACAAAAGTGGCTGGGTATAGTGAAACAATATTTGCAACGTGTTGACCAAAAAAAAAAATGGCTGAAGTTTGCAAAAACTAAAAACTGAGGAATGTTGGGAGCATAACAAAGGAAGAATGAAAAAACAAACTGACAGTGGTGTGGAAAATAGGAACATGCAAAACAGGACACCGGAATGGTGATAATTAAAAACATAAAAGCTCCTAAAACAAACACAGCCGATGGATAAAAGGAACTCGTTGAATAAGGAACACCGAGATGAAAGCCGCTGCACCACAGGAATGAAAACATAACCCCATTTCAAGAGGATGTGCTAGCTCATCAATGAGGATCAATACTGTGACGTGTCTGTGACATGCTTACAATCAAATCGATACCTTTTTGCATCTCTGTTCTTAAAACGTCCCCCCGGGTCGATAGCTATGTCCTACGAGCACGCCAGCGCTAATCAGATCGATGTAGGTTTTTGTTGAGAGAGGGTAATCAGATTGATGTGTGTTTCGTCTTGCACCCCACGACACTCAAATCGATGCGTTCTCACCACTGTTTAATGTTTGCTCCAGCCTTTCAGATCTGTATTTAGATCTTCTTACGCTGGCATTGTTGGGAGTAAATGTGTAGATGCCTTAGAAGACCAAGAGAGGGAGAAACGTTTCAACGAAATCTTTATTTCCTCCCAACAGGGAAACTGAAACCCAGTTCGTAGAGGCCTATTTTATTTTCGAGAGGATCGAGAGCATATAGCAGCACTTGCAGGCAGACACAGCGAGAGCAAAAAGAATATTATTTTTTCCCCTTCAATTTTGGCTTCGCGTGTAGTTTGGCATTTTTAATTGTCCTTTTCCCCCCTAGATGCATGGATATAGGTTACCCCTGGTTTGGACGTTCTTTTTTCCGCACCTTGCTTGTATCCCTATTTCTGCAGCAATATTTAAAACTCATCTCAGGATTACACAGCATGTAGTAACAATTATAAATCACAAGGGCTAAGATATATGATAGAGGAATATTATGAATGAAAATTCCGTTTTGATATTGATTTAAAGCTTCTTTTCTCTGATCTGAGTCAACTAGTTGTTCTATAACTACTGCGGAAGTAACAAAATCGAACTTAGTTTTTTTTTTTTTTGGAGCAGTCAGATGAGAGGAAGAAAAGTGCAGTTAATTTTTAGAGCTTTTGTCAAACAACGTGTATTACGAACAAGAATGTAGTGTAATGTTTTTATGTACATATATTTATTCTTTAATTTCAAAGTCTGGAACAAGAAAATGTGCGAATCATGTTAAAGCGCATTGGGAAGTGGATAAAAAAGAGGAAAGAGGAATGTAGAATTGTAGAGAGAGGCGGACAAAGAGAGACAGGGAGACACAGAGAGAGGGAGGGAGAGAGGAAGAGATTAAAGGAAGAGAGAGAGAGAGAGAGAGAGGGGGA